GGAACATACAAAATAACAAACAAAACAAAACATACATAAACATAAAAAATTTAACTACATAATAGAATATCCATTGAACAAAAGTAAAGTAAACATAACTAGGTTGTCTGTAGGCCTTCTTGCAATAATCCTAGCAATATCTTTACCTTTTGAAAGAGAAGCCCGAATGTCTTCATGAGTTCAATGCAGTCTTCAAAGACGTCGTTGCCATCTTTACTGGCAGTAAGTTGATTTTTCCAGAAATAACGTACTAGCGGTTCTGCAAGAATTCCTTCTTCATCTAATTTACGCCAATACTTTACCATAACTGGAACCTATGAAGATAGAACAAAATAAAATAATCTTATCGAAAGTTAATGTTATTGGCAATGGTGGTCGCAATCATGAATACCACACTTAAATCACATATTTAAGAAATGGGCCTAGGGAGGTAGTAGAATATAATTTATATATTTATTATTAAATACTGCATACACACATTCTAGGCATCTGATTGGTTAACAATAGGGTGATAGAAAGTACTATTATTACACTATGCGATAATACTTTTTGCCCTGCTGTGCGATGAGCTAGGCTGCATTACTATGTAAGACACATAGACAGTAAATAAGACTCGACTATGATGCTGAGAGAGATTGGCCCTTTGATCACCTAGAACTGGAATCTATGTATGAGGTATATAAATGTGTGGGTGTGTTTCTGTGTGGGTGTGTTTGTGTGTGTGTGGAAATTATATTTAAATACTGAACTTGATATAATAATCAATACAGTGCGTATCCTTTTCAGGAAGGACTTGCACAGTCATACATTTTGTAAAAACCCTTCCTGCTAACAATGTATCTATTAAGAGCTATCATAGAATATTTTTCATTTTGATTTCATAAATATTCTAGCCAGGTTTGAAGTAATTCTGATTAAGTCTGCCAAAATGCATGCATATATAATTTCTTTGTGCTCGTGATTCGTTTTGTCAACCTGTTTATAAATTAGTATTTTTTGTGTGAATCTAATAAATCATTTGGTAATTTTGGTAATTATAATAATTGAATAGTAATCATTGTCATTAATCAATTTGTTAAAATTTTAATTCTTTTAATTTTAATGTAATTTTTTATGCATGTACAAATCTTCACAATTCAGCTTTGTGCTGCAAATTTGATTTTAATAAACTTGATCTTGATTGTATACACACAAGCCTATTATATAAATCATATTACCTAACATATTAACTACCTAATAATGCTACATATTATAACAGTATATAAAGCATTTTTGAACTGTAAATCCGAATACAGAAATTGATATCGTACTTTTGTAGGTCTTTATTGAAATAATTAAGGCTATACCTTGTCAACATCAACAGGTTTCATAACAGTGACGATTTTCATGAAGATACCAATCAGCATATGGATGTTGGTAATCACTGTGTTCTTCAACTTCTGGTTAGTGGGTGAATACAGAATGATCCCAACATCATTCAGGTAATTGAGGACGTGGATGACATTTTCTTCATTAATACCACAATCTACTGCAATCTTAGTGATCTACAAATAAAGGAAAAAAAATAAATAAATAACATTTTTTCTTAGGCTGTCCCAAAATATTACCACTCTTAAAATAGTTTAATCATAAAATTAATTAGCAAATTCACATTTATTATAGTTAAAAATACTGTCACTAAAAAAATCAAATGTTAACATAAACCGTAAATATGTCATCAAAGGTTGCCTTATCCTAAGCAATAATTTAAATAATCGTATGATACCTTATACAAGGACATGTGCATTGTTGTCTTTCCAGCTTCTTGTACCTTAGTTTGAAAGTCCACCCAACTGATGGGAATAGTTTTTGCCATTGATTTCATATAACCACCAACATTTGTTTTTAATCGTTCAATCCCTTCATCCATTTTTGCATTGTTAGCTACTGCATACATATTGCGGTCAACATGACTCTCGTACGGTGTGTCTTCGATTTCCTTAAATATCCTTCTGAATTTGGCTTCAATCTTTCAATAAAATTAGTGAATATATATCAATTATTCTTAGAAAAGATATACTGCAATACAACTAAAATAATATTTAGTTTAATGGCTTACCTGTGCCTGCTTCTCAGCATCGCTTCCTTCTAGAAGGTCCTTGTGCGTCCCAATGAGACTAATTGGGGGTGATGCGATCATGCCATTAATCAACGGTTTCTTGTCGGTGCGATGTAGCACTACGGTGTGTTCGTAAATTGACCTTATCCAGAATATGATCATTTGGAGATTAGTCATCTCAAAGTGTCCCTAAAAATATATAATAGTCACATAATTCAAAATGAAATTAAGACTACATTAATGTAGGATAAACGAATAGTTAAATTTAACTGTAAAATAATGCAATTAAGTAGTAAGTTATATTTACTGCATTCCATAAACAATACTGATTAAAATTTAAAATAAAACAATAAAATTTCAATAGGACCTATTAAAAATCATACATTTAAAAAAAATACATCTAAAACCAATATCATCTAGAAACTATGTCAAGCAAGGTTTGTTTCAGAGAAAATTAACCCCCAAAAAGTAGTTTAGGCCATATTAATTTAATTGTTGTGCACCGTGATAAAAGTTAAATTGTAATTGAAAATTACTTTCGTAAAACAAGGTTAATTGTTTATTAATGCTTGCGGTACACCAAGTAGACAGTTCTGAAAAGAACTGTTGTTGGTTGAGAATGTCTCGACGATCGATTGAGTTCATTCATTCATTCATTCATTCTTTATTTAGTCAATGAAATAACATACAATAGAATTAAAAGAAATTTAACAAAAACACAATATATAACGTAAGTTGGCTAGGATTAACTATAGTGTGAAAAACACTCTGGCTCTCAGGCCTGTTTGTCCGGTCTTAGGATTTTTTAATGTAGATATATACAGACAATGATTAAGTTAAACAATAATGTAAGTAAAATCAATTGAAAAGCAAAGCATATAACAATAAAGAGTCATTCCTTATGAATCCAACACACTTTTTAGCCCAATATTTTGCATGTTGGGGGTTCTACCTGAGATAACCCCACATTACATACTAAAATATTCAATTTTTTAGGATATTTATGGCGGCCATCTTGAATTTCAAAATGGTTACCATCCTAGCTTTTTGAAACTATGTTTAATGTATTCAGAGAGCCCAAAATCATATGATTAGAGCCAAATTTACCATTTTCCTTAGAGGATATGTGGAATTAAAATATTACTTTTTTGACCATTTTTAAGGCGGCCATCTTGAGTTTCAATATGGCTGCCATTTTACGTTTTCGAAACCTGTCTCGTTGGCTTCAGTGACCCTAATAACATATAGTTAGACACCAGATTTGCCCTTTTTCATTGGATATAAGTGAAGTTACAAGTCAATATCATAATTTTTGCGGCCATTTTGAAAATGGCTGCCAAAAAAAATATGTTCCGCCCTTTTTCTGGAGGTTCTCTCTCGCTCAATTTCTTATTTATACCCTAGTGATGCCAAATCAGCAGTGAAACCTTGGTCCCAGAAAAATGGTCACGGGGGCCCTGATTTTCACCATAAGGCAAAAGTCCCCGTTAGCAGAAATGGTCCATAGTGAGCTGTCTGATAGTTGAGAGTGAGCTGTCAAATGGTCCAGAGGGAGCTGTTAGCAGCTCCATAAACTTAACTTTAATTGGTTTTAAGAATGTCCATTGGGAGTTAACAAGAGAGTCCTGCCAGCAACATATAGCGATTGGAATGTAAACAACAATCACTCACTTCATCTCATGGGCTTCAGTGGCAATAAATAATTTAAGAACCCTTATTCAACAAACCAGCAGAATGTATAACCCGGGTTTTTTCCAAAAGCCAGGACCAGTTCTGTTAATGGCCAGAAATGCAGCATGCTATACTATGGTGCCAGTTTCAAAGAATCTATCAGCAGATTTCCTGGAAACTAAGTAAAACTATCAATACCCAGAGGTGACGGAACTAGGGGGTGCTGTGTTATGGAGAGTAATGTGTGACCGGAAATGGTCTGCAGTCAGTTGGTTGTTACCATGCGCCAGTGATGTTGGAGTATATAGTACAGTAATTTGAAACTATTATGTAGGCCTAATGAATGAATAAAGTTCGGAGTTTGTCGGGTAGTGAAATGATTATTTCACATTTTAAGTGCTCCCTAAATTCATAAGTGTAAGCTAAATTACGGTGATTAATTAATTAATTATTTCAAATCCCTCTTTCCAAGAGGGGATGCAAATGCTTTGTGAAAATGAGTACGCCGCGGTACTCATTTTCACAAAGAAATACACACAACTGGTTAGCTAACAATTATGTCAATGTTACATGAACACCTCTAGGCACAAAATGTAGTCTAGAGCTAATATATTTCATTTTCCCACAATGAAACTTTAGGGGCATCATGTGGGCTAAGTGTCCTAACTGAGGTGTGAATTTTTCAAAAATCGAGATATATACTTTTGTGATATTTTGGGTCAAAGGTCAATGTCACGTGACTTGACTTGACCTATATAATTCTCACTAGTCCGGACATCATGGAGTTGGAAAAAGAATCTTCTTCTCTATCCAACGGTACCAGCATTTATCCAATACGTTGAGTTTCAAGAGAGACATCAGCAGTTGTCTGTCAGGAGGTGAGTTTTTTAGCCAAATCTCATGAAAATTCAAATTGCTCTAACTCATCAGAAAATGCTGGCGCGGAGCCAAAAATTTCACTGTGGGGTTATCTCAGGTAGAACCCCCAACATGCAAAATATTGGGCGATTTGAAGGGGGTCGGGTAAAAAAGTGTGTTGGATTCATATGGAATGACTCTAAAGTAATATTAATAAAGTGATATGAAAGGTGACATTATAATAAACAATTACAAATTAAAGTAAATCAATACTTCCATTTTAAAAAGGTAAGGCAGTTTAGAGGGATGTATATTATTCAATGCTAAATAATTATCATTACAGAACAATTTGAAAATTAGAGAAGGAGAAACAAAAACAAAAACAAAAAAAACCCCCAAAAAAAAGGTAACCAAACTATAACCTACAGGTATAAAGTAAAATAAGGGTGGGCATATCCAATTTCAGCTGTAAATGTATAATTAGAACTATGGTCCTATGCCAATATTGTTTTTAATATTAATTAAGCTTGAAAATGGGTAATTTCAGGAGAGAGGGGGAGAGAGAAAGTGAGAGAGAAAGAATGGTTAGGCTCATTATTCAGTAAATAAACAATCAGAAATAAACAATCAATATCAGATTATCAGATGCTTCAATCGTCTTCAGGAGAATAATATCTGCAGATATTTCAAACAGTGAAATACTATGTTTTGGGTAGTCAGACTTGCTGCTGATTTGTTGAAAACTAAACAACAGCTGAGACTACGTGTGAAAAGGCTAATACAAAAGCCAAAATTCACAGTTTGTGCAAGAGTGTGGGGTGTGGCTAGAAAGGTTACACTTTTTTTTAATGTTCCTTTTACATGAGAATAACACGCAGAATTTACTAATTCACAAGAGCTTTGAGACAAGAATTAAATTAATATGGTTATTTACTTTAAGAATATCTCTTGGTTTTGCAAATTCTTCCAAATTATCCAACAAATTAAACACTATTCCGTAAGATGACCCATCTGTGAGGAAAACCTGAAAATACAAATAGTAAATATGCAAACAGCATATGACTAACACAAAATTCAAACATGAAAATGTTTACAAGGGTTACAGTCTGCCACATGTCATTTACAATAATCTGTAAGAGTTGAAAAATTCGAAATTTATTTGCTAATTAATTTGATTTTTTTAAAAAAATAAAATAGAACAAAAAAGACATCTCATTGACATACAAAAATATTGCTCCAATATTATTACAGTATACAATTTATTAATATAAAAATTGACTGGTATAATCATTTTTGTAGTTGAAATTATTTAAATCAACATGTCTGCCTCAATTCATAACATATTATGTTATTGTTAATGAATAATTCAATGTTTTAACAGATTTTACCTAAAGGCAGTTTTGTTAGTGGAAATTGTTTTAATAACATCTGAAATATATCGCAAGCAAACAACCTGTGAATTCATTTTTGACAATATTCGTATAGTATAGTTTTTATTATTTACTTACCCGGTGAGTAATATAATAAATCATCTGACCGGCATAGTCCCATATACATGTTATATCTCTCGGCCCAGAACTCTTGTTAGCAAGAGTGTCCATAACATTCCTCCGTAATATCTTTAGCTGATCGGACGATACTCCTGTGTCCTGAGATACCGGTTTTTCTGAAAATAAACGAGAATAAACTTTAACAATAACAGGCCCGTAGCTGGGGGAGGAGGGGTTATGGTTCGGGCAAACCCCTCTTTCTTGCAAAACTCTTCTTTTCTGGCAACTGCCTTACACTTGCCTCTATAAGTTGTGTATATTGATCTTTATACGTCACATGATCGTTCTGAAAATTTCATGATTTATATCTTGCCTGTTTGAGGTCCCGAGTTTAAAATCAAATTAAAGTGTAGGCCTACCTGTGGTTGGTCTTTGAAGGCTTTGCATCATTGTGAATTTACCCTGAACCATTTGCACAATGGAGTCAAGACAATAAATGCAAACAGTAAGATTCTAAGTTACTTTAGGTTTTATCCAAAGTTTTTGTTTTTGTTACCGGTGTTAATACCACGAACACCACTAAATTTGCAGTATGTTATACTTATTATTATAAAAATGAATTATTATTATTTTATTGCTATCATTATTACTATTATTATCATCATCATCATTATTATTATTATTATTATTAATTATTATTATTATTATTATTATTATTATTATTATTATTATTATTATTATTATTATTATTATTATTATTATTATTATTATTATCATTATTATTATTATTATGTCTTGGCCATTATCATTTTTTCTCTGGTAGGCATCTTGTACAGGAACATGTTACCTTTTTGGCCTACCAGACTCATTATGTTTATGAGTAAAATAAAATTATGAATTATGAAAACACTCTCACTTTCGTTAATGAGGAGTGCGATTCATTGAAGCGTCAATTCTCTAACGAAAGGTCTTTTTTCCACAGTGTCAGTGTCATTGTATTTTACTACCTGCTGCTTTAGGTTTAGTACAGCTTTTATATTTTTAGACATCCAAAGCTTTCAACAGTGAAAACACACAGAAATATATGCAGCTACTTATCACTTCAGTTGCCTCATTTAGAGCATCTTCCTTTGTAAATATACACCAGTATATATAATATATTACACTTTCAAATTTTAAGCATTCTATTTCAAATCCTCAATAATACCATCTTAATTTTACTTGATTTTCTCTTACCTTGCATATCCATATTTATTATTTAAATTTTTTATCTTCTTAAGTTTCTTTTTATGTTCCTTTTAAATCTTTTTAATTTGTAGTTAAGTTATCAATCTTTTTTGGTTTCAATGTGTATATGTCTGCTTTTAAAATTTTTGTAATAAGAGCTGAACCACAATGGAAACCAGTACTAAGTACTGAAAGTGTATATTCAGTATAAAGAAAGAATAAAAACATAAAAAAAAATAAAAAGTCAGTGGAGCTAAAACAGTCCTGTAATTTACTGAGTCTTCTGACCAAACTTTACCTCTCTAATAACATATTTTTGTTGTGTCAGGTTTTGCATGTACACTGAGATTAAATGAGTTATGTTGTTATGAAGTGATCTGATCTTCCTAAAGCAACTTTTTACGTGCACTATACGCATCTTTGATGTTCCCAAAACATTTTTCTAACGCACATTCATTGCTTGTCAGTAGGTTAATGTATTAAAAACATTGTGGCAAGGATCTCTTGGCATTGCACGTATTAGTGATGTTGATAGTAATTGTTGTGGAGTTTATTAATAGATTTCTGTCGACATAATGAGCAGTACTGGGAAGAGACATTTGATTTCCTGCTCCAAAACAAGACATTCGTTTCTAGAACCCTTTATGAAGAAAGCCTACCTAAAATGGCCTAGATTGGCACAAAACCATCTAACTCCGACTTTGAATATAGAAGATTGAAATGTATTACTAGAGCATAGGCCTACAATGTACACATTGAAAAATTAGTATTATTAATAATTTAGGTTACTTTCTTAAAATTTAATTCACATATTTTTAGTCCAAGTTTCCATACCAACTAAATATTTCCTTCGGAACTTGCCCTCAGGAAATTTTTGAATGCATTAAATCTAACCTAAGTATAACAGACATACACTTTCGTCAAAGAAATAAACATTTCAGCTTTCGAGAGAGAATACAGTCATTGACGTCCTTTTTGGAGGCAAACAAGTAAAAACGTGTGATGATTTCATACCTAGGCCTAGATTAGGCTACGCACTAGTAGTAGTAGGAGGAGGCTAGTTTTTAGTTTCCATCGACTTTTGTGAGTCCAGTGGATGTTTTTAAGTATTGTTTGGGGTATTGTATTACTTTTTGGAAATACAGTTTTGTGTACCAAACCATGTGTTTATCGCTTGGTGATGTATGCTTACCATCCCCAAACGTAAGAAATTCCGATTTCGTACTATCAGGATTATATCAGCACCACGCTATAATTTATAGGGGTCTTCAAGACAATTTTCTCTAAAGGAGTTTGTCATTCTTACCCTGGTGCAAGGTTTATGGAATTAACCGGTAACAGAATACCAAGATAAAGAATAGTAATAATTATTATGAGTATTTAAAGGTATTTTATAAATTATGTCGTTACAATATAACCCAAGTGGTAAACCGGTGTGATGTGTGAGTTGCTGTATTTGAGAAGGGGAATAGTAGGATATAGTATCTACTATCTTGGTAACTCTTACCAACCTAAAGTAGGTACATTACAAAGGCATGCACAGTTACAGTTTCTGTAACTCCTTTTCTGGGTGCTCCCATCGTCGATGGGTCTAGCCTTTCTGCCACCCAGTCTTCACAATTGTCATATAAACTGTGTAAATGTTACTATTTATTGTTACGAAATGTATACTGTATTTGCTATCAAGTTTGATGATTATGTATTTTTATTCGCGGTGCAACTCCAAGTATAGCCTAGGAGACTTTTTAGATAACCCTATTTTAATTGTAACTGGTCGATAGAATTGCATAATTTGTTGTAGGGTCTGCATTATAGTGGATTTTTATTCGAGTACTAACCCATTCGTTGTACTGTATTTCTAAATTTTAATTTTCGTCATTGATTAAATGACAATATCATGTAATACAGTGTTTTCCTTTCTGCGGTGTGTCTGCTTGCATAAATAAAACGTATCAATACAAAAGGAATGGGTTTACTATTAGCGCAGTCATCTATAAATCTAGTGAAATGAAAATTATCTGAATTTAAATAATTTAGCCTGTACAGAGGAAAACAAATTGTCCAAGTAGAAAAAAATTTGGTTTCCAACCCTGAAATAAGCATCATCATTGATAAGTAGATTTAACTTTAAGAAGTAATATTTAAATTAGTTACTGATGTTGTGTAGTTCGCATCAGTGGCAGCGTCAGCGGGGTGGCAGGGGGGACTTAAGCCCGCCCACCGGATAGGTCAAGCCCAAGCCCCCCCCCCTGCCGGACAGAGCTCATCGGGCAGTCAGGCCATAAATTATATAAAAATAGGCCAACACATGTCTGTCACAGTCTGAGAGTTCCATTTCCGATTTTGTACTATCAGGATTACATCAGCACCACGCTATGATTTATAGGGGTCTTCCAGACAATTTTCTCTAAGGAGTTTGTCATTCTTACCCTGGTGCAAGGTTTATGGAATTAACCGGTAACAGAATATCAAGATAAAGAATAGTAATAATTATTATGAGTATTTAAAGGTATTTTATAAATTATGTCGTTACAATATAACCCAAGTGGTAAACCGGTGTGATGTGTGAGTTGCTGTATTTGAGAAGGGGGATAGTAGGATATAGTATCTACTATCTTGGTAACTCTTACCAACCTAAAGTAGGTACATTACAAAGGCATGCACAGTTACAGTTTCTGTAACTCCTTTTCTGGGTGCTCCCATCGTCGATGGGTCTAGCCTTTCTGGAACCCAGTCTTCACAATTGTCATATAAACTGTGTAAATGTTACTATTTATTGTTACGAAATATATACTGTATTTGTTATCAAGTTTGATGATTATGTATTTTTATTCCCGGTGCAACTCCAAGTATAGCCTAGGAGACCTTTTAGATAACCCTTTTTTAATTGTAACTGGTCGATAGAATTGCATAATTTGTTGTAGGGTCTGCATTATAGTGGATTTTTATTCGAGTGCTAACCCATTCGTTGTACTGTATTTCTAAATTTTACTTTTCGTCATTGATTAAATGACAATATCATGTAATACAGTGTTTTCCTTTCTGCGGTGTGTCTGTTTGCTTAAATAAAACGTATCAATACAAAAGGAATGGGTTTACTATTAGCGCAGTCATCTATAAATCTAGTGAAATGAAAATTATCTGAATTTAAATAATTTAGCCTGTACAGAGGAAAACAAATTGTCTAAGTAGAAAACAATTTGGTTTCCAACCCTGAAATAAGCATCATCATTGATAAGTAGATTTAACTTCAAGAAGTAATATTTAAATTGGTTACTGATGTTGAGTAGTTCACATCAGTGGCAGCGTCAGCGGGGTGGCAGGGGGGGGGGCTTAAGCCCGCCCCCGGATAGGTCAAGCCCAAGCCCCCCTCCCCCTGCCGGACAGAGCTCATCGGGCAGTCGGGCCATAAAATATATAAAAATAGGCCAACACATGTCTGTCACAGTCTGAGAGTTCCATTTTTGGCCATCTAGAGGTTGATATACTTTAAAAATATCTCATTTGAGAGGGGAAACCCCGCTCAACCCCTTCTCCCAGCTCGAGCCTACGAGCTCAAGTCCCCCTGTCTGACAACTGATGTGGGCCTATTTTTATATATTTTATGGTCTAACTTCCCGACGAGCTCTGTCCGGCGGGGGCTTGACCTGTCCGGTGGGGGGGGGCTAACCCCCCCCCCCTGCCAACCCGTTGGCGCCACCACTGTGTCGTTGGTTCCAGATTTTAAAACGTGGAATGCAGCATCTGCAAAGATTACAATATATTTAATACTAACTACCAAGGGCAACAAACCTAACTCAAGATGCACGAAAACACAGGAAGTCAAATTAAAGTATACGCCTACCTGGGGATGGTCTTTGAAGGCTTTGCATCATTGGGTGTTTACCCTGAACCGCTGATCTCAATGAATCGGGCATAGGCTGATTCTGGGCTAAATATTTGTAAGCCAGTATCTGCGCTCTGAGCTGCAGCAGCTGCTGCGGCAGGAACAACTGTCTTGATGGTGGGGGTTGCTGCTGATGACAAAACATTGGACTCTCCCACATACCATCGGGTGGTCCACCATATCCTGTCAAAAGATAATACTAATACACATGTATTGACTATGTATCCTCCTATTCCTCTCAAGAATTAATAAGGCAGTGGTATTATAATAACATGTGTATATATATAACAGTAGACCTACAATATTTTTTTTAAACTGTGTTTCCATTTCTAATCAAAATTATATAGTGGAATGCCCACTATTTGCAAAATAGTTTAAAATAATACTGTAAAAGCAAACAGTAAAATTGTAAAGTACTGTACTATTTTAGAAACCGTATCAAAGCTCTTGCTTTTCGTTACCTGTGTTAAATACCGCCCACTTTCGTTGAGGAGTGTTCCACTGTTGTTCGTTGAAGGAAAGAGTTTAAAACTGCAAGAGGTCTGACTGCCGGGAATTCGTTGGAACGCAAAAAGTACTTCCACCAAGGGGCGTGGCCTTTAAAAGATTCGAACAACGCGTACGAGTTTCTAAATTATGATTAATTTTAATTTAATTTTTTTAAATTTTATTTATTTATTTAATTTTTTATTTATTTTTTTTTAAATTAATTTATTATTATTTTTTTTTCTCCTCAACTAATTATTAATTTGTAGTTTGTAATGTTAACAAAATTAAAACCAATAAAACTGATGGTAAATGCCGAAATGGTATCCCAAAATCCCCTTTGATTTCATATTTCATGGTTACTCCTTGTACAATACATATCACTTTGTGTTTGCTTGTAATTAATCTTTTAAATTAATATTATGATATTACTATTTTTTTAAATTATATTATTATTATTATTTTTATTATTATATTCATTTTCATTATTATTGATTTCATTATTTTTGTTGTTGCTATTGATTTTTATTATTATTTTTGTTGTTCTGTAATCTAGTTAGCTATGTATTTCTCTTCTAACCAATCGTTTTGTATTATTTTTGTTTGTATTTTTCTCAACTTGTTGTAATTTGTATAAAGGACGCACCACATTTTGTGTGTGCCACTGTTCAAAAAGTGAGAAAGCCCAATAAAACTGAACTGAACTGTGTAGGGCGCCCCCTAATTTGTGGCAGTACTTTCATACCTTGCTGCATACAAACTGAGGGCAGTCGAACCTCTTCCAGTTTCCTACAGTACTCTTTTACTGATTTCAATTCTTTAACATAAACATTTAAACTCACGATGGAGCCCTAATGACGAAAGCGAAGGTTGCCTTCCACGCTACCTCCGAAGTTCTATTGTGGGGCCAGCATGTACGTCTAGTCCTAGTTAGCATTTCAATTTGGTTTACCATTACAAAATATAAGGCAAATTTAACCTGATCGTTGTATTTGTAGCATATTATAAAAATAGAAATGAGTATAACATTATACCTCTGCTTCTCTTTCGTTTAGTCGGGGGCATATATTCTTTAGGTAATTGAACCTGTAATTAAACAATAATTAAATTATTTCACTGATATTAAATACTGATGTATTTTCGTTAAAATAAAATACAGCATAGCAATCTCTAAGTACATACCGTTGATATAGTACCTCTTCCCAAATGCTTGCATTTCAAATGTATTTTTATAGTAGTGCCTATTTAAAATCTCACTATCATGTACTACCCCATCAATAACATTAGTTAATATTATAGTACCAACGTCTTTATCATTCATAAAAGTTATAGGCCAGGTAATAATCTATAACAGTGGTTCCCAAACCTGGGGTCCGCCAAGCCAAAGGGTCCCGGGGAACGAAAAATGTGGGGGGGGGGGGCACAAAAATGTTGGGACTCCTAGAACAACTATTTCATGATTCTATTATTTTGTTATTGTCTTACAATTGTGTGATTATGTCTTGATTATAATGCAATACCTTTGACAGGCAATCCTAGGTAATGTACATTTTGTTTCCATGTTTTCTCTTGTATTGCTTCTAATTGGATAATGAATAAATTTTAAAAAATTAGGAGGGAAGCCTAAATTTTACAAAGTTAAAGTTAATTGGGTTAATAAAATATCAATTAAAGTTTTGAGTCTGAGAATGTCATTTCCGGCCATCTACAAGTTCCAACCCAAAACAGTGGTGACGCTAGCGGGGGTCTAGAGGAAAGGACCCCCGTCGGGGCCCTCTGGACCTCTTGCTTTGAAGATGTGTATAAGAGACAGTGCTTTGACCGTCCTGTTAGAATTTCCAGCAAGATCATCGGGGAAAAGTCAAATTTCGAGCGCCAAAAGTACAATTCAAGCATGTGTTAATAAGCTGTCAACATTTTAGAGATTAAAAACTGTGTAGTGCAAGCAGTGCTACTGTAAGTGCGAGGTTTCGTATTCCGGTACTATTTGCGATCGTATGGGTTGCAGTAGTCCGCCAGTTCTTCCTTGACAGGCCATGGTAACTCCGACAGGAAGACTAGTACCCAGGACATCGCTTTTAAATAAAGAATCCCATAATTATCACAAAATTTAATTTCTTTAAAAAAAATCAACCAACAACCAACAACCCCCTTGTCAGAAAGCTTAGACCCTTTGTTGGAGAATTCTGGCGCCGCCCCTGACACAAGACCTTCGGATTACCGTTCATTATGTGTGTGTGTGTGTGCGTGTGCGTGTGTGTGTGTGGGGGTGTGTGTGTGGGTGGGGGGAAGGGTGGTTATGAGGGTGTGTTTGATCATCAAACAAGCACAAATTTACCACAGCAGATGTAGATGCAACATAACTGGATGAAGATGGCCTTTCTACATCAGAAACAAATTCAGATTTGTTTTGTTCACTGTTTGGCTGTTTCAAATTCTTTGCAATATTTGCTGCAATACCGTACTCAAGTGTCTGCTTGGCTTGTTCACAAGCTGTACACAATTGAAAAGTTACCCATGAAAATAAGGTCATTAAATCATAGTATAATCAACTGAATCACACATTTAGGCTTTGAACATAGTACGGTAATAAAATTATTACGTGGCAGTGTGGCTTAGGCGTCGGTGGTTCGTGAAAAGTAAACGAATAATCCCAGGTTCAAATCCGGGCAGGGGTCCTTTAAGGTCTAGCTGAGCGTTTGCTGCGAGGATGCTTCTTGTGCTGTAAACACCCGTTGAAACCCGACAAGTCGATTTTAAAATGCAATTTTCTCGAATAATCCTCACATTGTGAATTAGGCTCAATATACATCCGTGTGTATCCCGTTACACATTGTGTGGCTGCAACAGGTACCCAGGGGCCCAAACCAAATAAATATTTTATTTCCAAATTTAATGAGCACAAATAAAGGATTTTAATTATTATCACATAATTTAGGTTTAGTATTATAAATCATACCGTCTACATCCTTCTGCTCCTCCCATTTGCTGTAATCTCCATCAGTTTGAAAGACAGTAGTTGTAACAATACCATCAGTTGACGGCTCATGTATATCAAAACTATGATGATGAAAGTTTTTCATCATCATGATAGAAATGAATAATAATTTTGTCAGCAACAAAAAAAATTATAATTATAGTGATTGGTTTATAGCATTTCTAAAATAACAAATAATTATAACCAACAAAACGGATTTAGAATATAACTTATAGAAAAAAAAATCCTTACCTGCAGTACAAACTGGTGATAAATATTCGAAATGCCAAAACAACAATAAATTTCGCAGTTGCTGCTATTAAATCCCAATTGCATAATAAAGTAAAGCCGTGTCATCCGCCACTCGACCCCGTCACCTAGCAACAACTTTACCACGGAAAGTTACAAGTAAACTTACACGCGCACACTAGCGCGTGCATGTTAAAAGTTGAGTAGAAAACGAACGTAAACTGTAATGTTAAAACTAACTGAAAAAAAGCAAGCAAAGTAAATCGATATAAAGTACAAAACCTAATACATCTGATTGTACTTACTCTTTCCCAAGCATGGCTTTGACACAAGATGATTTTCCGGAACCCTCGTTACCTAAAAACATCATTCTTGAATTAACAACTGTTATTTCACCAGTTTTAAGTGCATCTTTGAATGCTTTGACGGCTTCGGGACCCCTGGCTAAAATCTCTGACGGAATTGATAATTCTAATTAATATAAAAATAAAAATCAAATATTTAGTATGTTGTCCTTCTACATATACAGATACTTTTTATTTAATTCACTTTCTAAATTACATTTTAATTAATTACGATTAACATTTCTTACAATTCTCAATCAAAATGCAACTGAATTGAAATAATAATAATAGTAGTGTATAATTATATTAGAAAGTAAATGTAATGAGTGATATGTCTGTTAAATGTGGTTTAAACAGGTCATTATTGTACCTTTAAGTAGTTCTTTCAACTCCTCCTTTTTCTTGGTTTTCGTGGTTTCTTCGTATTTATTACATTCGTTACCATCATAGTAATCAAGAGGCGTCTTTCCTCCCTGCAATAGCAGACACGAGCACGCGATGATTCGTTTCATTGCATGGGTGACGGTTGCAAATTAAATTTAAAAAAAACAGTGGTACCGTATATTTTGGTTTAAAAACCATAATGATATAATAATAAAATGGTAAATAATAATTTAAATAATCAACACTATGAGCATTACAACTTTATAACTATTGTTGTAAATTACTAACACTATCACATCACATCGGGGAAAAAAATATTTATTGAAATCATACTTAAAAAAATCATTATCATTACCATATTCGCTAACATTTTAATCGATTTAATGTTTTATGAATTTATATTTATTACGTTGGTTTTAATTAGTAAAAATTTTTCAAGTTGTTTCATATACAGTTGTATTAAGGTCATTGACTGATATTCTTTTGATGCATTTCATTTTTCTGTACATTACCATATCTTTTATCGTCACCGACGCGCCAAAGGTGATATTGATAATTGCGAGTTCCTTGTGTTGCTCGTGCGTCAGCTCCTCCACTAGACACCAATGTAGTGGTGTGCGTCCAGCCTGCAATGAAATGATAATCAACGTCAAGTTTGTTGAACACGCACAACACAAGAATATCAATTAACAAATATTACGAAAACGTAAAAGTACCTGAAATAATTTATAACCATAATAGGCCTACTTAATTATCGCCAATGAAATATGTAATAATAATAATAATATAGACCTATAAAAATGTATTATAATAAAATTGATGATTATAATAATGAAGATGGTGATGATAATATTATGAGGACAAAGATACTTTTATGAATATTTAAATAATGAAATGATACTATTTCAGCTAATAATAATTACAACGAAGGTGATGCCGATGACGATAATAATGATGATGATAATGACACTAACAATAGTAATACAATACTGTATTAATTATGGTGTGTCTATTAAAAGCATGTTATTGTAATATAGCTAATTATATTTTATTATGACGGGCAGTACTTTAAATGTATACAAAATACAATGTTTAAAAAAACATAATCTAAATCAGTTGTAAATATAATAAATTATACCACGGTATTACATCCAATAATATTAGATTACTTTTACTAAATTAGAACGTGATGTATTGAATGTGTTTGTGAGTGAATTAATGTTAATTTGTTAGCAATGAATAAAGTGTTGTTTTCTTCTACTGTACTCACCATGTCTTGCGTGTTAATCTTCTTGTTGGTTTTTTCCAACACGCGTCTCGTTGCTGACACGCATGCGAAGATCGCCAAGAAATGGAGAATAGTGAAACTACCAAACTACAAGACAAACGTAGAATATGATGAGAAAGAAATAATAAACAACAACAAGAAACTATACACACACCACATATCAACAACACATAACAACTCACAAACATCACACATACGTTACTTATTACATTCATCATTATTAAATACTAATTACATTATTTAATATTTTTAAAATGTTGTTTTTAAGGCGAAATCGCGCAAAAAATATTTGTATCAATTAGCCTATGTTTTACACACAATAGTAAATTATTTCCAAATTGGGATTTTTAGCGAGAATACTTTTTGTGAAAAATATCAATTTTGTTGTCACCAATTTATTCAGTAAACTGTATTAAGCAGAACAAATCCAAACATCACCATTTTTGTAAGTGTAAAATGTGTTTTTTTCACAATGTTTCTTATGAAATAGTGATAATGGCCATAACATAGGCTTTTTCTGTGTTGTAAAATATGTCAAATAAATCATGAAATAAAAGTCTCATTTCAACCCAACATGAAATAAATCACAGTAATTGAACTTGAGTTATTTGTATGTTGTATGATGTGTACACATGTTGTGCTTGTGATGTTTAAAATGCAATTATATTTAATTCCACTCACCGACTGTTGTTCTAAATTATCTGTAGTTGCCGTTTCAATCATATTCTTCAATACGTCATCAGGTGCTCCCCGCCGCACAGCTTCCATTGATGGCGTCTCGCCTTTCTACGAAAACAAACATTATACTGAATTACGATACAGTTCATACAACTACCAATATAATTTTTTACGAGTTTCATTATTTCAATAGTACGATGATATTCCAATATGATTTAAAAATTATTATATTATAAACAGTCAAAAATATGTGTTATAATACGCATATTCATTTGAATTCATTTTATTAATTTTTTTTATTTACGATCAATTTTTGGTAATTTTAATTTTTTTTTCATATAATTAGGAATAAAAATAAGAACATCAAATACTGTAATATTCTTTATAAGTGAATTGGAAAAGGAAGTAGAATACTGTATTAGTGAATAGGTCTAGACATAAACTTACAGTTGTTGGGCCATGCCAGTGGTGAATTCAAGGGTCGGGGTTCAGCCGGCTCGCCCCCCCCCCCCTAAAATTTTCAAAATTGTAAAGAATTGGAGAAAAACGGAAAATCATTTTCAAATTTAAGTCTCAGAGTGCCATTTCCCGTCATCTAGAGGTTCCATAATCGTAAATTTTCTTACCTCAGCTCCAATTATGCTGGGGTCATCATTCCTGATGATGACATAATTAATGTCGAAATATTGAATCCCGACACGATGGCGTGCATTTCGATACTTGGAGTATGTATTATACTATCTTATCTGAGATTAATCAGTGGACCTTTCGGTGTAGACCCTCCATCTGTCAAAGTCCCTCTCTGGGCACCCAGCTCCTATTTCAAGTTCCTGGATCCGCCACTGCATGGTTTATGTTTAGTATGACATTATTAGCATGTCTCTGTTTTGTGTACAGTGTTATAGTAGGCCCTATTATATGCCTTGTAAATTGTTCGTGCGTGAACCATGTAATTATTGATAAGTTATTTTGAAGTGAAGGTACGGTACTGTGTCATTGAATAGGTCTAAACATAAACGTATTATGTGTTAGACCATGGTTTGTGTTTAGCATGTCTATGTTTTGTCAGTACAGTATAGTAGGCCCTATGCCTTGTAAATTGTTCGTGCGTGAACCACGTATTAACATTTTATAAAACAGGAGAATACATGACAACGGCGCGTGTAAATAATTTTAATTTTTAATTTTATTTATTTATTTATTTTTTTTAATAATTTTATAGGCCTACTCATTTAACTAAAAAGGACAGCACGAGTAAAAAAAAATCTAAGTAGGAACAATTAGAGTAGATAAATCATTTAGTACGAAAGTCCCTAGACTAAATACCGCATGCCCAGTTAGTAGTTTACGCAAAGAATATTAGAATGTATTATTTTTGTACGTTTGTAAGGTAACGTTTTTTTTTAATTGAAATTTTTAACACAATAAAATACACAATGTAAGTAATTTAAATATAATAAATGATATTTTCTAAAAAAAAATTAATTAGTTTATCACCCCTCCCTCGTCACTTTTAGGAAAATTCTTTTGACAGTGACAGTCAGTTATTTAAACATAACATGTGATCAAATTATTAATATAATACTATTTTTAAAAATTCATTTAATTAATTGACTTTTTCTTGAGAAATGAAAATGAAATCAACATTTAAATGATGTGTATTTACTAATGAATTTAGATAAAATATTAACCAGAATAAATAAATATATGCAAAACAAAAAACAAAAAACAAAATTGCATTGTTGCATTAAGTTCTTATATATTTATTTATTCTGGTTACTATTTTATCAAAATTCATTAGTAAATAAATATCATTTAATTATTGATATCGTTTTCATTTCTCAAGAAAAAGTCCATTAATTAAATGAATTAAAAAAAATAGTACTAATCCTATATTAATAATTTGATCACATGTTATGTTTAAATAACTGACTGTCACAGCTATTTTAAAATAACCTATATTAGATTAACATAAACACCAGAGACGAGGATTATTGTGTTACGAAACAGGAAAAGCATTCCACAACTGACTGATAATTATTTAAGTTTTGACATTTGAAATGAAGAGTGAGACGAACTTCCAATTTAAATCAACCAATACGATATTATTAAAAAAATATCTAATTAACACATTATAAATTCAAACCCCTCTAATAAGATTTATTTACTTATGACCTGAAGTTTACTTACAACCATTCATCGCCAATTATTATTGATATTTTTATTTTATTTAGAACTTAACGAAAAGTATGTGTATTATCCATTGATAGACCTATTATATAGTCGTATTAAAAATTGTTTACGCTTTTATCCTGTATTTCGCTTTATGAACGCATAGTGCCTCATTCAATTACTTTGTATACTGTTTTTTGTATTTATATTGTTTTATTTTATAAGCACGGGAAAGCAAATTTTATGTATATTTTTTCATGTTACAATAATATCTATCTTGAATTTTGAATCTTGATATTGAATGCCATCGATATTGTAAAAGTGCAAGTTCAAATAAACATTATTGAACTACAGAGGGCGGTAGACTCGTTTTTTTAGTTATCAGGGAAACTTATCAATGCGGAAGTTTATCAACTAACGAACTAATTTGTAGGCCTAATATAAATAAAATGTATATTGGTCACACGGCTTGTAAGAATGACAATGTGGTTTAATTATAGTTTAATTGAGCATGGTGCATTTTAAACGAGGTTCTTTGTAAAAAGCACATATTGTGGAAATGTTTATATTTCTTTAGTACAGTGTGGAGGATAGTAATAAATGCTCAAAATAAAGATATTTTTAAGTCCCGAAACCTAAATACCGGGCTGTGTTCAGCGTTAGATAGTTTTACCATTTATTAAGTAAAGTAATAATATTGGTTACAATATTAGAATAACGGTATGAAGACAAAAACATCAAATAGACCCTTCATCTATGAGATGGCCAAATATTATTCACCAATCATGGTTAAATTAAGTAATAATAAATTTCTGTATAAAAACCATCAATATTGTTTCTTTGACTTTGTATTCCCAAATAATCAAGCGATATTTTTTCAAGTACTATCGATTGTTATTTTTCAAATTTATTTTACTCCAGTATTATGTTTCTGGTTATGTTCTTATCGGGTTAAAGGTTTACCCAGCTTTATTAGTAAATAAGCATATCTTCATAAAAAATGAAATTCCCGATTCCATGATTTCAGCATGGAATCGGGAATTTCATTTTTTTTTTTATTGATTTAATCCGTTGATTATGTATCTTTATCAAAAATATCTTATTCTGAAGCCAATGTTTACAGTAAAACACGATTAATGTTTAAATAAATGGCATTTTAGTCTATAATATGGGACACTCATAGGTATAGCCTCAGGCCTACATACAAATACTTCTGAAAAGGTCTAATGCGCTATATATATAAATGCGAGACAATTACCATTAAAGCCATGGCTGTTAATTATTTTAATTGGGACATTTGAAATGAAGAAAAATGATATAAATTTATTATAGATTTTGACTATCTAAGTCAAGCGCAATATTTACACTACATATAATCATGATAAAATTATAACAGTAAACTCATTACAATTTGTACGACATATATTGAACTAGAGAGGGCGCTAGACCGATTTATTTAGTTCTAAGTAGTCTTCGCGAACGTTTTGAATATTAAACCGCACAGTTTTTAATTAATTAAAGAGAATGACAATTTTGTTTTCAATTCTGTAAGGCAGATTAAATTTTTTTTAATCATAAGAAAACCCCAGAAAATAGGTACACATATTTTGTGCAAATAATTGTGAACTGTGTGTTGTGTTGGGACTGTATCTTATTTTAAAAATATGATCCAATAAAAATTCTGAAATCAAGAAAATCACTTCATAAATTTAACTTAGTACTTGCCTCATCCTTCGTTTCAATAAGATGAGGTTCATTTTCAAGGATGTTTGTTACTGCTGGCCAGTCCTTTCTCCTTATAGCCTGTACTAATTTGTTTCTGTGACATAACAAGTCAAGGAAATGTATGAATTATTTTTCATTGTCATGTCATTGTAAATACAGTAATTGACTAAACCAGGTTTCTCATGAATATTAATTCTTGACATCACTGTTATCCTCATCACCATAAAAAATATATATGTTAATGATTAGATATTTCGCTAACAAAATAACTATACTTTAATAATCACATAATTATAATTAAGTTCTTTACAGTAACAACTTTTAATGTGTCTGTCAGTACATAATTGTACTCCTTTTAACATTATACTATTCGCTCATTTACTTAATGTATATTTGATACAAACTCATACACTCATCGTCGGGTAGAATTTGTAAAATTATTATAATACAGTACTCACTGAGCTTTTGGTAGAACGTTCATGGTTGTCGATGGTTTGTAACGTTCGTATTGATCGTGTCGATTAGTGAGATATCTGTGAATAGTAGTACAGCCTTATTTAATTAGAACGAATAAGCCGCTGTATGTATATATATATTTGATTATTATTTTAATAACTAATCATTGAAGTATTTTACCAAGACCTTTGTTTACTAAATTATACTGTTAAATTCTACCAGATCATTTGCCTATGCCAGTTATACAGGTTTATTCTAAGCGGTCTTTAAGTAGTAGGCATATTGGTAATAACACTATCCAGGCAAAACGCGCCGGCGAATAAAATACAGTGCAATTATAAGTCCTGATCTCTCGGAAGAGGATCGGAAGCTAAAATCGGCAGACATCAACGGACAAATACACTTCCCATCCTCTACAAGGACATCCCCCAACCACTCTAAATCTAAAGCTGGATATATCCCATTGCTATTCACGTATAGGAGCCGTTACTTATGATCCCTTTTCTGGTAGGCTTAAAAGGTAACGGAAGGTGGGTGCGGCCAACGATGTTTAGATAGTACATGGATAGTAAATGTTTTCTGTCTACAATCTTTTTGGGAGTGTATTTCAAAAACCTTCTCAATGAAAGTGTCAATATATAATTACAGTCCTAAGCAAATAACTGCTTAATAAAATGTACCCACCTTTTGGAAATAAAATGGCCTTCGGAAATGTACTGTAGTGTCGGATTATGCTTAGCGTTGTGTTGAGGAACTTGTTAAACGATGATTGGCTCGTTCGACTGTTAGATTCATACAGAAGTAATAAACGGATCTACGTCACAATGAAATAAGTTATTGTTATCAATATATATTCATAATGACTTACCAGGTCACGAATGAACCATTTCCGAGTCGATTTCTGTTATGATGTTACTGTAAATGGATAGCTTTCAAAAAAACTAAAACAAAAACAAAAAAACAAAAAACAAAAAACCCCCCCAAAAAAACAAACAAAAACAAAAATGTGTGTGTGTATATATATAATCGTATCAATCATAGCCCATCAATGAAAAATAATGTCACTGATTTTAAGCACAATAATACATACTACATAGACTTAGGCCTATAACAGTAAACCAATCCTTTCTAGCACCCAAGTCCTAGCCGCCTAGGCCTACGCCTAGGTGCAGTCTACGCTTGCTCCTACTAGTACATAGGCCTAGTAGTAGAGAAGGCCTAGGCCTACTTCTAGGCCATACTAATGATTGGAAATATAAGTCATAATCAAAGTCTATACCCTTCAAATAACCTACTATGTGTGTATGCCGTTCAATTTAATCTTCATTTACTCGTCCTGCGGCCTTTTGCTCATGGAGTTTGAGGATATTCTTTCACAAAATAATATTTGTTTTATAATATGAACACAAAACTCGGCGCATGCAACGAACAAATACTCTTTTCTGATTGGACAATAGTTGTCTGCACAGAGCGGCTATAGCCAAAAGATGTCTTTCTGTGTTTTATCTGTTTATCTATTATTTTTTATTTACTGTTGCTATCAGGTTATGTGTATTAGAGTATTAGATAATTATCGTGGTCCTAAAAAATAAAATCAAAATTTCTGATGAGATTGATGAGACTATTGGTCAATTTCCCACATATTTATTAACTTTTTAACGAGCAAAGACCAGAAGTATAACGCAGAAGTACAACAGAGTAGAAATTTACTAATAAATTAATAATAATTAAATAGGCCTATCTCCCAAATTTGATTAGTCGTTTTGGTTAATACGTTATCATTATTCATTACAGTATTTATTTTGTTCAATATTTAAAAAATTAGTTTCATAACAGTAATTAAAAATTTTAATTTTCCTTGTTTTAAATCAAGCCGGTCGATTGAAATAAATACATGACTGTTTAATAGTAGGCATAATTGAGATAATAGCATTGCAACATGACCCACAAATATCCGTATACTTTTGTAAATGAGGCATAATAAATCTAATTAGGCCAAAAAAGAAAATTATTGTGTTGGCCACGCCCGACCAACTCAAATTTTACAAAATTCAGGGTCGATATTTTACTTTATTATTATTTTTATTACGAGCAAATAAAGCTGGAATAGCCTTGGCCATGCCATGCTAGGGGACCAAGGCTAGCCTATTTTGCAGGCCTACCCATCTTTTGAATTTTGCCAAAACGTGGTCAACACAATTTTTTCTTGGCCATTTACGAACATTTATGTTATAATCATCACCCTGATACAATGGGACTATATTAGGCCTACTTCTTACAAGCCTTTTAACTTTACTTCTTCAAAGAGCATGTGGCGGATACAGAGGATAGCAGAAAGGTACTCGCCACGAGCCAGGAATAAAACGGTATCGGACATCATTCAAAAACTAGTGTCAAATACCGTGAAACCTCAAATTAAAGCCCTGGGCGTCTTCTTTTTTTCTTTTCCTTTTCTTTTTTTTTTTATTTTTTTTTTTAAGATGGGCATACAAAGCAATCCTATTATCATATTATAAAAGAAATCAATCTGTATCATGGAGTGTATTTAACTACTGTATAAACCAAGCTTCTTTTTAATTTATTTTGTTTTTTGAAATTCATGTACAGTGTATATACTGTACGATCTCGAAAAGAAGCCTGTGCTATCTTGAAAAGAAGCCCATGGGATGGGCTTCGTTTTTTAGGCTAATTTTCCAAACTAAAGAGGGGGCTTCAATATTCGACATCGGCTTCATCACGAGATTAAGCCCACTGGGCATCAATTCGGGATTCTAACGTTCATAAAACCTGTCTGCTGCCCTCTATAACTGCAGTATAGCTAAGTTCGATCATAGTTGGTTTTAAACTGGGGTTTCAGTATTTTATGATTATTTGCTTACGACATGAAAAATTCAAAGAGTCCTTTACTAAATGTAATTATTCGAGTAGTGATTTACATGGAGCTGTTTATATTTGTACATACTTTAAAAAAATAACAAAGTCAGTCGCTTCAAGGTTTAGTAAATTAGGGTTTGTTTTATGTTAAAATTAAAATTTAAAAAACAATTCAAATGACACTTTACTGGATGCACAGATTGGAACAATGGAGTGTCTGTGGATTTACAGACTTTAACTAAGCAAATAATTCCTTATTGATTGACTGTGCTACTTTAGGATCTAAAGTAAACAGAATCGGTATAATTTATCTGTCGAGTTTCGAGAATGATAGGCCTATTTTATTTTTGCTTGTTTAAAATGTATTACTCTCTCATCAAACATGAACCATATGCACAATCAAAACAAAATCAAGACTGATGCCTAGCAGATACTTGGGCCCATGGGCATTGATCGGTGGTCGAGAGGAGGACACGACCCCCACTATTCACCACTCGTCTATAGTTAAAATCCTACTTTTTAAAGCGAGTACATTTACGTACTAATATATAAAACAAATCGTAATTTATATAAACGTTAGTTTGCACAAAATAAGTGGATTTTTTTTATTATGAATACAAAACACTTTTTTTGACGTAGACGTAGTGTGGAAATAAGGTTAATAGTAAATTGTTATGCTGCTGCCTTAAAACAATTAATTGACATACTTATAAAAGGCTGGAACGCCGAAGTTTCAGGGGCTTCGACCCACGGAGCCGACCGAGTGTCTTAAGCGCACCCACCCACTTTCAAGCACGTATCGACGCCCTTGTAAGGACAAATACCCAGGACTGATGCTCAAACCATTGCCCAGAACTGATGCGAGGACCAATGCCCATAACCAATAGTCTGGACTCAGGACTGATGCGAGGACCAATGCCCCCAAGGCATACGCCGAGGAATGTCAGAACCGATGTCCTGAACCAATTGTGCCCAGGACCAATGCTCAATACAAAAGAAGACAAAATAAAATGCAACAGGCTATATAGTACTTTGGAACACTTCCTTACAAGAGCTAATTATAAAGTATATTGTTTTATTTGCTAATACACACAGACAGAATATCTAAAAGATGGTATTGTTTTGTTTGTTAGGATAAACTAAAACTATTTATGAAGTATATTGTTAAACATTATTTATTATTCACATTTCTACAATACAATCTATTAACAAAGTAATATTTAAATTTAACCACAGAGTGGTCATCAAAATCATGTGGTTACTGCATTTCATGTAACGTTTTAAATATTAGAAAATATTCAATTTTAATGAACCTTTGCAGTGTGTCAATAAAAAATAACATTGATCCTACACATGTCTTTATTGTATTCATTATCCTTAATCAATGTAATCTCATTAAGATGATTGCTAATCAATAAACATTGATCCTACACATGTCTTTATTGTATTCATTATCGTTAATCAATGTAATCTCATTAAGATGATTGCTAATCAATAAACATTGATCCTACACATGTCTTTATTGTCATTACATGATTTCCATCGTTAATTAATGTAATTTTATTAAGCTGATTAGTAATCAATAAACATAAAATCAATAAACAAAGAGCCACAAAATTTGAGACGAATAAAATCAGACCTACAAATTTCTTTTTTTAAATTAATGAAAAAGAAAACAATAAGTGCAGATAAAACACAAGAATAAAAATGTAATGTAGTGATCACAGAATAAAAGGCCAATAAATATAAATGTCCACAAAAATAAAACTTGGATAAAACAAAGAAGACAAATATTTAAACAAATTTTAGCAAATATCAAAAAGTCTCCATAATATTTTTTATGCCATAATTTTGTTAACCAATACAGAACCCCTCAAAACCTAAAGGAAGCCTTCTACATTGTCATGAAAAGGACACATACTCCGGTGTGACTACTAATAGTGGATTTGAATCAAAGAAATGTAAAGCAGATACAACCACAGTTAGTATGTACCTATCAATTTTTTACTTGGGCAATGTTCCACATATTTTGAAATACTGCTGATAGTTTAAATACTGTAGACGCTTAAACCCGTATGGACATTATTAGATAATATTTTACAAATTTACAGATCTACGACTCTGACGCTGCTCACAGGCATCTTCGTAGGAACAACAGACGTTCCCTAAGGCTTGTCATTGACATGCATTCTAGTTGTCCTCTTGGGGCTACAGGAAGGACGGCTAGCAACCACCAAGTCCATCCGGGGCCATCAGGTGATTCTAGCGGGTTTTCCGGTAACGCTGGCATTCCTCCGAAGTGTTTAGAGATCCGTGAACGAAAGACGGACCTAAGGGCATTGAACCATGACGAAGCTTCACTGTATACCGACTGATGTAATGTGTTCAGTTGATTAATGTCATCCTCTACAAGAAAGAAATTGATAAAAAGTTGGATAAGCTACGTATGAACAAATTCAACATGGCAATGTTTAATGTATGTGAAAATTTAGTACGAGAACATAATGCTCAGGAAATGAACGAGCAAATAATTAGAAAGTCTTCATTTAAAATGTATTCTCAAATTAAAACACGACAGGATTGTGAATGTTATATAATGGCCAAACTTGATTTTCACAGTTTTTTCCTGAAATTCAATACCAGATCAAATACTGTTCCATTAACATCTCAAACCCACTATTGGTTTACTGATCATGACATCACATGCACATTATGTACAAAGGGAGAAGAGGATATGGCACTTGTTTATCTCAGGAAATCTTGAAATCAAGCTGTGAATGGCATTGGGTAACATTGGATAAGTACTGCAAAGCATATATTAAGAGTGTGGCGATCACATACCCTACTTTTAAGAACAATCTGAGTCAGAATATACAGCATTGCATGATTTTAATCTTAAGTCTTATTCTTAGCAAATTCAA